GATTTGGGGTTTTCATGAGCTGTACACTATAATCATCACAATTATGACAAATCACGGCTTGAACGGTCTTGCTTTGCATGTAATGAGGCTATCTCATATAGTAGTTTCACCTTTTAAGTTGCATTACTGAAATAAATGAACTTTTGCATGATATTCTAATTTTTCGAGTTTCACCTGTATAAAGACGCACCCAGATTTTTACCCTCTTTTTTGAGGAAAAAATGTGCGTCTTATACTCTGAAAAATACGGTATTTGCCCAATCAAGTACATTCTCGCTCCTTTAAAAGAGTTTTTAATTGGTTATAATTCTAAAATATTTTAGTTTCCTTTAAAGATATTTCAGTAACATCACATTTATTCTCCATTCATCTCTGTAAGTTATTTATGTATATCACTTTCTCCTCTTGATTTGGAAGGATATTCATGATTATTATAGAACTAAAAATACCTTTTATGTTGGAAATGTCTATATTCAGCTGGTTCAATTTCTCACATGTTCTTTCAACACATTCATAGACAGATTGCAGTATTTCCTTTGGGTCTTGTTCTACCCACCTTAAAAACATCAAGGCCCACATTAGAAGTCTGGCAATTGATATGATAGAGTCAACAAACCACAATGGCTTGTTTGCTTCATTGCCTTAGAACAGGGGTGTCAAACTCGATTTCATTGAGGGCTGCATCAGGATTGTGTTTGACCTCAGAGGACTGGGGTGGGCAAGGCCAGGGGTGGGTGTGGCCATGGTGGGCATGATATGGGACATGTGTCAGGGGGGCACCTGTGATGGCCAAGTGCTAAGGCAGGATTTCCCTCAGAGACTCTCCCTCACTCTCATTATACTCTCCTTCCTTCTTTCCTTCCTTCCATTTCTTCTTTTTCCTTCCCTCTTCATTCTAATTTCTTCTTCCTTCCCTTCTTTCCACATTTTTCCCTCCTTGCTCTCTTCCCATCTTTTCTTCTTTTTATTTGTCATTCCTCTTTCCCTTTCTCCTTTCCTACTCCTTCTTGAATGTTCAAATGCAAAAGAGGAAATATTTCTCTTTTTGCTTTGTTTTGATAGCCCTCTGCCAGCCAAAACGGAGTGTGGGGGGAGGGGGTCAATGCTAGTCAATTTGAAATAAGAATGAAACCATCAAGAAAAGTCAGCTTGCTCACAGTTTGGCTCTTTCCTCAAGAAAAAAGTTAGTATAAGTCAACTCCATTGATGAGCAAGGAAACAGAAAGCAAGTAGAACACTTCCAGCGCATGCCCAAGATGGTGTACTGTCGTGTTTGAGGAGAACTTCGGGGAGATGGCTGTCCTTCTCGGGGGCTTGCAGGGGTACCCTATCCCATCGTTGGTTCCAGGTCTAGCTATGAGAACTTCCTGGGACCTCGGGGATACCCTTGAGCNTTATCCATGTGCTGGAGAAGGAAATCGCTGACAATCTGCAGCACCTAACTTTGTTCCTGCTGGCACAGCATTTGATCCATGTAATTCTCATCAACCAGTTAAAGAGCTCTCCAAGGGGGGGGGGGAGTTTTTGCACTTTGCAAACCGCCCCAAAATGGCCCGTTTTTTTGCAAAAACAGGCCCGTTTTTTCACATAAAAGGCATAAATAGCCTTGGGGGGCTTGCAGAATGCTCCTGGGGGACAGGGAAGGGCAAAAACGAGCATACAAATAGCCCATTTTTCACAAAAACGGGCCTGTTTTTTGTAAAAAAAAAATGTACGCATACCCTTACGGAAGCTTATAGAGTGCTGCTGGGGGTTGGGGGGGGGACAATGGCCCATTTTTTGCTCATTTCTGCCCTCCCTAGCCCCCAGGTCATCTCTGAAAACCTCCATAAGGCTAGGCACGGCCATTTTGGTGAAGAGGCGGGGCTTCGGGAAGGCAAAAAATGTTGTATTCGATATATAAGATGCACCCAGATTTTCAGCCTCTTTTTTGAGGAAAAAAAGGTGCGTTTTATACTCAGAAAAATACGGTAATTTTAATCTCAGATTGCCAGAAGGAGGAAAAAAAGGTTTCTTGAATATTTTTTTTCTGACTGAAAGAATCTCATTTTTCCTACCTTTTTGTTAGAGGGTGCTACCAATGTTTAGTTTCTTCCCCGCAAAATCGGGACGTTTTCTCCCTAACGTTTTCCCCACCCACTTCCTTTTGGAATGACTGCAGGCAGCATGAATGGAGGAGGACTGGGAGGGGGACTAGATAGGCATTGGGGCAGGTAGTAGTGGGGAAGATGGTGAATCCTGGCAGGCTGGGATATTGGACCTCACACATTTACTACAGTTCTTACATTCCAGAGAGAGTGATTTTCTATACACAACTCCCAGTATCATCCCTTCTCCAGTTCATCATTTTGAATATTTCCTTGGAATAATGTAACTCAGAGTTGCAGGGAAATTAAAAGGAAAAAAAAAACACCCCACCTGTTCTTGATTTGTGTCTATCACTACCACTTTGGCAGTTTGCAGCTGAAGAAATTAAGACTCCACAACCTGTCACCAAGTTCACAAAATTGTTGACCCCCAGTAAATAACAAGCAGAATTCGATGTACAGTACATTGTTAGAAAAGGCACAACCTGCTTTAAGTTATATCATCAGGCAGCTTCTTTACCTTAAAGTTATTTGACCTAGATTTGCTCTTAGCAAGAATATTTTTTCCTGTTGCTAATGCTCTTTTTTTTTCTTCCACAGAAGCTCATCATACATTTTTTCTTAAATTAACATATCTTCCTGGAGTCACCTGGTAGGGGAGATGGGCAGCATAAAAATGTAATAAACAAATAAATGAAATGTCAATATTACCTTGTTAAACAAGCAAATAAATGAATTAAATATCAATAGTACCTTTTTGACCTACATCATACATATGCTATGGCATTCCAATATCTTTTCTCTATGCAGTGTATTTCTTTTAACAACTTGAGAGAGAAGAAATCCCACATCCATGTTTTTGTGGAAGATCAAACTATATCTGTTGTTTGCCTGCCCAGGCAAACTACTGTAACAAGGGAAAAGGAACCCCCAAACTCTAAACATATGTATTTCCCCCAAAATATGTAGGCTGTCTGCTGCCAATAAGTATGGGCTTAATTAAAACCCACATCTTTGATAACTTATTTTATTTAAAAAAACTGTTGAGTATTTGGCATGTTTGTCAACAGCCAAATACATGGTTTCACCATTTTCCATCTGTTCAATCCTTGTTAGCTACAGTTTTCTAACTGTAGAACTATAGATTTAATCTGATTACTGTCATTCAGTTCACTCTGACCTTTTATGATCTGATGGATAATATTTAATCAGAATTGTCTATCAGTAGATGCCTCTTTGAGTTTTTGTACGGCCATGCTTATATAACTAGTTATGATAAATAGCCATTGTGTTGTCTGTTGCATCTTTTCCAGTTGCCTTATCTTTGAATTTTGAAGGATCAAAGTTTTCTTCACTGACACTCCCCCTCCCCCATTATGCTTCCGAAATATTTTTGCTTTAGATTTGTCACTGATACTTCCAGTCTGGTTTTACTTCATCTGTTATTAAATGATTTATTTTTCTTGGGGTCCAAGGTATTCACAACAACTTTCTCAAGCACTACAATTCAAAGGCATCACTTTTCTTTGTTCAGCTTTTCTGGTAGTCCTGTTTTCACAGCTGTAAGTTATAATTGGGAAATCTATAACCTTGACAATATGTACTTTTGTTATGATGTCTCTGCACTTAATCTTATTTAGATTTGCCATGGTCTTTCTCTTAAGCGTCAGACATTTACTTAATTCATGGTTTTAGTCATCATCTTTTTGAGTTTTGAGCTGGTTTGCAATGGATTAACATTGTCTATTGATATTTTTCTACTGTCAGTTTTTTAAATTTCTATAGCTTAGGTTTTTAAAAAAAATATTAAGCAGAAGGTTGGGTTTTTCACTCTCTTTTTTCATTCTCATTGTCAAATGTTCCTTATCAAAGTATCAGCATATCTGAAATTTTCTCTTAGTAATTTTAATTTTGATTTCTATTTATTTTCTATAGCCCAGCACTTTTCATGGTACAATCTGCAAATATATGGCACAATCAGCAATTAAGTTAAATAAAATGAGTGATACAAGTTCCTCTTCCAGTTTTGAACTGTATAGTTTTTTATATTGTCTACAGCAGTGTTTCTCAACCTTGGCAACTTGAAGATGTCCGGACTTCAACTCCCAGAATTCTCCAGCCATCATTCGCTGGCTGGGGAATTCTGGGAGTTGAAGTCCGGACATCTTCAAGTTGCTAGGGTTGAGAAACACTGGTCTACAGATGAGATTTCCTGGTATACTTGTTTTTAACAGCTGTCCCAATTACTTGAGGGCTATACCTTTAAAGGCATTTATACAATTAGTAAGACAAAAAAGAGACATCTGAATTTGTTTAAGCTTTAGTTCTACCTTTTTTCCCTTTCCAGTAAGCATGACCATACTGGATGCTCAAGTTTTCCATTTTTATCATTCACTGGAATTCTTGAGCCCTTCCATCAAAGTCCAGAGTGGATGTGAATGCTTCATTGGCCAAGTATTTTCTGTCTGCAACATCTTAGGTTTTTTTTTTTTTTTTTTGCTTCTTACCTCAAGCCATTAAAGTTCAAGCACTGACTTGGGGGGCAGTCAGCTAGAGCAGGGGTCTACAACCCCCTTGTCCATGGACCGGCACTGGTCCACGGTATGCCAGCAACTTGTCCACATAAACAAGAAAAGTCCCATCCACGGAATGCAGGCAAAATCATGCTCCCTCTGGTCCATGGAAAAGCCAGTATGCTGTGCTTGCTAGGACATTCTTAAAATAAATTACATCTTTTCCTAGTTTTGCATGATAGCCATATGATCCCTCCCAAATGTTTATTGGAATTCAAATGGCGCTAACATTATAAGCAGACCCATTCTAAGGCATCTTACATACACTTTAATTTAGCTTATCAGCATTATTTTTATAGTGTCCTTTCAGTTTCATGAGTTTATATTTTTATTATAGTTTTTATATATTTATTGTTTTTACTGATTCTTGTACACTACCCAGAGTTGCTTCTGTGAGATGGTTCGTCATATAAGTATGATAAATAAATAAATCTTGAACTGATGTTATACAGCTGCTGTGATAGTCCAGGAAGAACCAGGTTATTTAAAGTGCTACTGGCAGGCACCAAATGGATACTTATTCCAAAATAGTTTGTACTCTAGATTCATATCCAAAGCTCAACAGATCCTATTAGCCAAGTGAGTATGGTAGATGTAGTACAAAGCTGATTTTCTTTATCTCTTACTTTCTACATAATTTTACATTAAAATAATACAGCGCATTTAGGAGAAAAACTGTGTTTAAATGGAGGAATATTCATTATTTTGAAGTCTGTCATCCTTTTTGAAATGTATAAGGTAATGCAATAATTGTCAAATGTCTTTATTTTAAATATGCATTAAAAGTTATTTGGAATTTATACAGACTTGGAATATGATTCATTCTTAATGAAGTGCAGCATCTGGAACATGAGGGGCCTTCTTGATGTTGCATATGTTTGAACATAAATCTCACGGCTTGATAATGAAATAGGAACTGTATAGTTGCTCGTCATGTTTCTTAAATAATAAAAACTCCTTTTATGTTATGAGATCCCTCAGTATTTTCTGAGTTATCTGAATCATCTGCCGATAATGTACTGAATAGCATCTGACAGGTGCATGAACGTATGTCTAATATAGCTTTTCACATTATTTAGAACCAGATGGTCAAAGAGCTGGAGGCCCGAGTCCATCAGTTGACAGTGGAAGCTGAAACAAGTCATTTGCAGCATCAGAAATTATCCCAAGAGAAAAATAATCTGGAACAGTCTTACCAGGTTGTGTCTTTAGAACTTGAAGAAATTAAGGCAAGGTAGTTAATAATCTTTTTCTTTAAATTATGCTGGTACATTCTTAACTGCAATTTGTTATTGGTATTGAATAAATGTGGAATTATAGTAGAATTAACAATTCTATACCATGTGAAAAGTGATAAAATCTGCATTTTTAATTACTTTTGTGAAGTCTGACTTTCTTTACTTCGCTCTACAGTTCATTACTGTGAAATAGTCAACTCATTTGTTGTTTATACTTTAATAAGATGAATCAGTGTGAATTAAGCATTCTAAGTTTGGACAAACATTAGTTCTTCTGATTCCAATATTTTTTTTAATATTGAAATTAGAGGTGATGATGGAAAAGCTACTACTTGTAGAAGGTTTCCTGTGATGTTCTATGGAGGGAAAATGAAAAGATTTGTAACATCAGAAGTAATCAATTGGGAAAGTTTTATTTCACAAACAAATGAAATGAACCTGAACTAAATATGCCATGATAATCTAGTTTAAATTACTTATTTTTGAAACAAACAAAATACATCTTTCTCTAGTGGTTCTATAATATCATCTAGATATTATAAAATTTGAACTAAATGTACTGTATATGTTGTTATGCATAGTGTATTTTGTATACTTTTATTATGGTATTGATTTACTTCAGTAATATAATTTATCAGCAGTAAGTGACTTAATTAATCTATACTTTTGACTATACATAATGAGCCGTGAGCAGCTATTGATAATGGAATATAGTAGCCTTCACCAATTACATTTTTAGAAATTCAATTCAAATGTTTTGTTAAGATTATTATATTAAGTGTGAAAACATAAAGATAAATATCAGTTTGAGCAAAATGGTCTTCTTTGATCTTCTGTGGTCTTCTGTGAAATGTAATCAAATGTTTTTAGGCATAATTCACTTCAGAAAGAAAAAGGCTGCATGATGGAAGAACATAAAGAGAACATTAAACAGTTACAAAGCCAGTATGAAGTGGATCTAAATTTGATGAAGAAGGAACATGCTCTTTCTGCAATGAAGGTAGATGTGGATGGATCGTTTTACTTACTAACAATACTGAATGAATCAATCAAAAAATTCTTAGTTAATTTCTGAAATTTAAATCCTGCATATCTTTCATAAGTTAAATGACCTTTGTTCATCTGAAAGCTACTGAGAGGTCAAGAAGAGCAAGGATGGTTGAACTATCCCCATTCTGCTCCCACCAGAGATTATTTACAAGTGTGACCAATGTTGTTTGTCTCATAACTAGGCCTGAAACCTGACTGGAAGTGGTCATCCAGGACCCTGTAGAGCTGCAGTGCAACCACTTTTTCCACCATCTTCCCTAAAAGTGAAGGTGGGAGACTGCATAGCAGCAGGGATCCAGTGAAGGTTTCTTAGGAAAGAATGGACCAAGGCTTCCTTCAATGGTTCTGGGAACACCCTCTCCTTCAGCAATGTATTAATTACTGCCTGGGCCTACTTGCAATTCATCCTCCAGGAAACCTTTTACCAAGTAGGGAGATTTAGGATCCAATAAACAAATAGTTACCCTAATAGCCCCAAGCTTCCTGTCCATTTCCTCAGATACAACAGAGTCAAAGTGTTCCCAAATAACTGGGTAAGTCTGTTTCCTGGGCATCTATAATGGACTCCACTCCATGCTTGGTCTGCAACTAAGAACAAATTTGAGTGATTTTATTCATCAGGTGCTGGACAAATTCCTCCTCCTAGCCCAGTAAATGATCATTTGGGCCCTTCTTTCCTAGGAGGAACCAAGTAACTTTAAACAGGGCCAACGGGCTGCACTCTGTGTTTGCAGTAAGAGTGGAGAAATAGTGGTATTTCACTGCTCTTAACTGCCATGAAGCAGGCCTTCACTGCCAACCATGAGATGGCCTCTGGCAGCTCAGACAGGGAAGTTGCTATTCAGCAGGAGGAATACTCCTGTGGCACTTTTGGCTGTAGCTCTCAGTGCTACAGGGAATCCTCAATCTTCACAGATCCACACTCAATGTAACCCCCACAAGTTGGTCTCTCCCATTGGTCACCTTGGGAGGGGACCACTTTCATACCCACCCATCCTGCTTGTCTCACATACAGACAAGAGGGTAGCAAACATACAATAGGTAAGCAATCAGGTGATTCCTATGATCTCACCCTAGAGATTAACTTACCATCAGCTTGGACCCTAGAACTCTTGTGCTCCCCCATCCGTGATCAGCTTCAGTCTATCAATCCTAGAAGAAGCCTGTTTCTGCCAATGTTTTTGGCCAAAATATCTGGCCTCACCATTCAAGTTATTTTCGGCTTCTGGGCTCGATGTTGGTCTCGAACCCCGGGCTCCAACATTATTGGGGGTTCTGCCACCACAACCCTGGCCTGCCTTTAAGATGTCAACAAACCCATCTCTGGCCTGGTCTCTAGACTCTTATCTGTGCTGCTTATTTTCTCTGCTAAGGCCCTGGTTGATTCTCTGAGTTTCAGGTCGGTTCTTGCTCCCAGTCTCCACTTGTTGCCCTTCTGGGCTGGCTCCAGATATGACTCCCAGCTGATTCCCGTGGCTGTGTCTCCTCTGACCTTTCTCTCTGAGCACAGACACACACCTGCTGTGGCCTTCAGCCCTTTCTGATAGACACTGGGTTAGACTCTGGGCCTGCTTTCCATCTGTTACTGGTTCCTTGTCCTGGTCATCTCCCTCAGTGCTGCAGATGACAGTTCTGGGGTGGCTCTGCTTCCGCTGCCCTCAATCTGCAGCCAGGGATTCATGCTGGCTGGCAGGGTAGAAACAAACTCCGTGTGGCTCCCAACACTACAGCCCTACATCTTGGTCCCTCCAACCTCTGGGCAAGCAGCACTAGGCAGGAAGAAGGTAGGGTTGAGGCAGTGATTAAGGGAATACCCCACCCCCCACTCCAATACTCCCATCCTCTGTCTTTGTAGCAGGGAACCATGTTGCAAAGATATTGAGTATTTGTCAACTCACAGTCTCAAAGCACTAGAATCTTACTAGATACAGATCCCTGGGAACCAGCAAATTTCTCTAGTACACTCTCATTTCATCTTTAGTTGAGAAAAGTATTTCTTTTTTTACAGCTGGGCACAATGTGTTCCCATTGGCATTTCTACAAGAATATTCAAAACATATTATAATTCTTTTTTTACTGCAAGTGCTGGAGACAACAGATGATTACTTACTTCCTCTCAGATTTGTATATATCTTTAAATTATGATTATAAAAAACCATTATAAAGCACCATAAATTATGCTCAGATTATTCCAAGTAGAGGTTCACTTTTGGACTTTTGCAAGGAATTAAGAGAGACATAATTTTGATTTTGGGATTTGATTATTAGAATTNCCCCAAGCTCTGGAAATCATTCTTCACAGAAAGTACATCTTTTTGGGACAGATCATTTGTGCCAAGATGTATAATAACATCGTCACAGTCCTTACTTGCATTTCTTGACTATCTTAAGAATACCCCTCTTGTCTCTGCTGGCAGTAGCACCTGGCAGACACCTGACCTCTTTTAAAACCTCCATATTCTTTCCTAAATTTACATCCCTTCTGATTGAATTACCAACCAGAAGTTGACTTCTCTTTTTGCATACCTTGTTCTTGTGTGACTGATGTGTGATACCTGGTTCCCCATTTCACCTTTCCAAAGTAAGTTCTTCATTTTGGACCACGATCCCCTGCTTATTTGAGTCATCATTATCACAACTACCTTGATCTGTCTCTTTAGTGTACCTATTAAGGTCAACAAGGGGGCTATATCTGTTATGCTGGGTCACAGCAAAAGCTTTTTGTTTATGGTTCGCAGCTCTCACTCTGCCAGATCCCACGGTTGTCCAGACTGCTCTTCTGCTGTGGGATCTTTGTGGTAGAGGGGGCTGATAGCATGGCATCTCCATAGAGTGGAATAGCCGAATTGGACACCTAATTTCTGCTTGGAGAGCACAGATTAGAGATTCTAGATAGCTAATCTGTCTATGTAGACTAGTAATTTGTTTACAAAGGGGACAGTAATACCTTTTCTCACAATTTGTTGCATGAGTATTTTCAGCTGACATTAAAAACATGTTCATCAATGAACAAAATTAAATTTGAATGCTCCATTTGCCACCATATTTGCTTAATGCAGCATATTTTAAATATATTGACCTAAGCCTACCTATATAATTTATGTCAAATAACTTTGCTTTGAAATTTATTTTACTTTAATAATTGCAGTTTTTCTGGTTACGACAATGAGCAACTAGTAGCATTATCTTCACCTAAACCTTGTTGCTCCTAATATTTCAGTAGGAATTGCTCATGCATTTTCAAGTAAAGTATGACAACTGTAAGTAGCTTATGTTAGTAGCTTACTGTTAAAATGAAGTAGTTCCTCAAGAAACCAAATTCAGTTTACAATCCATTATTAAGTTCTTTCCTGTTTCAGAATATATTTTGAAATCCTGGCATAGGCTGAACCCTTCTTGGTATTAACTTGCGATTACAGATGTATTCATTAATAGTAATTTTCCTAATATAACAATTTTTTAAAGAAATCTTCAAATGGAGATAAAAGTGAATAGTTTTCAGAAAGGAACAAGGTAAAATTAGTAAGACTGTATTACTGTGCCAACATAAGATAGTTTGTTAGACGTTTGTGGCATGCGGTTTTCAATGACCTAGCATGGCTGTAGTTGTACTGGTGCAAGTCAGCAAATGGAGTTAGAAAGAGGAAGAAGAAATTCAGTTATGGTCTTGAAGGTCAGCTATGATGTTATGAATGATGATGAACTTTCCTGACTGCTAACCAAGGTTCTTATGGGGAGATGTAGCAACAGCAAGTGGCCCAGCCTGGAATATAGGTGTTGAGGACTAGAGGTTTGGGGAGCACTTGCCTCCCCCAGTTGCTGTGGGACATGTTTCCTATTTGATCCAAAGTTGGAGAACAAGAGAAGGAGAGGAAACTAAAAGACTGCAAATGAAATGGTTGGGGAGTGAAGATACATGAGTGTGCAGATCAGGTATTGGTTCCAGGTTGAGAAAGGAAAAAAAAAGTCCAAGGATGAATTCCCTGGAAGAAGGAAAGTTAAGACTCAGAGGGACAAGAGGTTCACCTGACATTTAAGATGGGAAACAGTGGTTTGTCATTCATTGGTCTCTGGGAAAGGACTGGACAGAAGACTCTGCTCTTTGCCTAAGTAGGTGCTCAGCTCAGCAGATCCAGAACAAATCTTTACACATTACAGTAAATTCAGCCCATTTCTTTCTTTTCACTTTTACTCTTAATAAGCAATAAGGAAGCAGAAGAGCTAGAGGTGAATAGTCTCTCTGAGGAAGACTTAGGAGGGAACTTGACACCAGGTGAACACCAGAATTGTGCTTTACATTCCTGTTGTAAATACTGGTTGCAAATCACTTCATTGTATGTAGTAAAAAAGCATAAAAGTCTCTACTGTCTTGTTTTTCTGTGTCAATTGCCGCACTTGCAAAATACACCTCCGGTTCAAATAGCACCTTGTCACACTGTGACACAGTTAAACTCTTACTAAACTCTTAGCGTATAAATATTGTCAAGTGAAGAACTATGAATGTGGATTAGCCATTAAGTTGGAGCTTAGCTGTATCTGTTTTTACTCAAGAAAGGTAAAAAAAATTCATATTTATTGAACAGTTGCTTATCTGACAGTAAAAAATAATGCAGAACCTAATAATATTGTATTAAATATTTCAGTAACATTCTCCTCTGGAATTTATTTAATATGCATTCCATAATTATAATTCCATTTTATTACTTATTTTTCTTCAACTAATGCAAAAAGAATTGCCACTTTAATATGGTTAAAGTAACTTTACTATGAAACAATAGCATTATCTTGCAATTCCTATTACATTCTTTGTTCTTATTCTTTCCTTTGTATCAAGGAGTACTCATAAATTAAACATGATTATCTTTTCTTCTTTCATTTCCAGATATAGATATTTTATCATATTTGAAAGCTATATGTAATCTTCCATATAATCCCTGTATCTTTGGTATAGTGAGGAATTAAATTTTACAAATGCTTGTAATTTTTTAGACCAACCCTAAAACAATTTGTATGTGTACATTCCTAATTATAGTAGGGGGTTGGTTTTTTTTGGCTTGGTTGTATATTTTCTTTGCACAAATTGGCATCTAATTATGTTTCTTATTAAAATTCTATATAGCCTTTCTTTTAAGGGAATTTTTAAAAGTGATTTTTACTTGTATTTACATACTTCTTCCTTAGCTTTTATTCTCTTTTTCCCATCTAATTGCCTTTTCATTCTTTTGGGGGTCCCATTCTAAATACATGCAGAAATATTAATAAAGAAATAATATTAAGGATCCCAAAAATGACTATACATTTCTTTACTGCACATGTGCTTATACAGACTTTTGATTGTCCTGCCTATTAAGAAAGTTGAGAATTAATGATATAACTTGAGTCAATCCCACTAGTCCTTCATTTTCACCACTGTGATCTTTTTATTTATTCAATTTATATGCCACCCATCTCACCTGGACATGACTCTAGCAGCTTACAGTCATTTAAAAACCAATAAAAGTATTAAAACCATAAATGGTAACATTGAAATAATTTAAATGTAATTTTGAAAATTACAAATTGTGCTTATAGGTGTGGTGTAACCTCTGTTGGCACAAGGTTAGAGACTGACACTCTCTTTCTTCCAGGCACACACAGAAACAGAGTACTGTTTTATTTGGACTATAAGACGCACTGGAGTATAAAACGCACCAGGGTTTTGAAGAGGCAAATTAAAAAAAACGTAGGTAGGTGGATAAAGGGGGAGAGAGAGAGAGAGAGAGAGANATGCTCAGATTATTCCAAGTAGAGGTTCACTTTTGGACTTTTGCAAGGAATTAAGAGAGACATAATTTTGATTTTGGGATTTGATTATTAGAATTATATGGAATTATGGAAGTAAGGTAGACTAGTCTTTGCTTTGGAGTAAATTGGATTATTTTTTTATCTATATGCTAAAAGCCTGAAGCCATTGTTTTTTTACTTTTTACTTTTTTCACACTTTTATCATTCTTCTTGGCTGATTCTTTTTTTATATTTCCTTTTTTCTTGTTTGTTTACTTTACTACTTAGATTTCTAAATTTAATTTTTTTATTGTAAAATGCCCAATCACTTAGGTGAGTTTTTTCATATAAAATGTGATAAATAAATTATAAAATCATATTAAAATTATTCCAGGTAGAACTGAAATATTTTACTGTACATCTTTTGCATTTTATTACCACATTTTAATTACATTAATGTTTTAATATTTTATTACTACTAAACTGTTACATAGCAGTATGTTCATGCTTGATGGCTAAACATTTCTCAGAATTTCTGCTGCCTGGCATACTTTACATATGGTCTGCCATTCTAGTCCTTATGTGCTGATTTTACCTTTCCTCTCCTTTTTCTCCTGTTTTCTGAAAATTGTTTGGCTATTTTTATCACACTTTCTTCCCCGCCCCCCCCCCCTTAAAAATAATGTTACTGAATTGTATTTGGATCTGCTTATTGATTTTGATAAAGTATTTGATTTGGAACTTAAAATACTCATTATATTAGAGAGCTGACTATGAAAAAATTATTTGTGATTGAAATTGTTTGATCATTGACTGCTTTGTATCCACAATGTATTATCTTTACTGTATCCTTCCTATTATGAAAGCAGTGTCCTTATTTTTTTTGCTTGTGTCATGAATCGTAAAGTTTTTTAAAAAACAACATAAAAATAAAAATAAAAAACATCTTCCATTACAAATTGTAGAAAGTGTGTCAGTTGGTTACAGTATTTCCATGCATCT